GTGTGTGTGTGTGTGTGTGTGTGTGTGTGTGTGTGTTTGTGTGTGTCAACTCAACATATTCCATACTGGCAGACTGAAGAAAGCAATACAGTTCAGGCTGGAAGTATTGCCAAAGAACTTTGAGGTGTAAGCAATACAGTTCAGGCTGGAAGTATTGCCAAAGAACTTTGAGCTGTAAGCAATACAGTTCAGGCTGGAAGTATTGCCAAAGAACTTTGAGCTGTTTCCTGTCAAAATACCAGTACATTGAATGTAGGGTGAATCTTCAATAAAAGTAGGGATGGGTGGGGAAGGAGCCAGAATTCTTAATACCAACAATGACAATGTAATACCTTCAGAACTGAAGTTCTACTGAATTGAAGTTTCTGATTAATTGCAGGTGGATCAAATGACCCTTGTCATTTCCTTATGTGTTGACTATCATCCTGTAACACACGAACTCACTATGTTGTCTACTAAGTACCATAAGTGGAACATAATTTGATTTTGATTTTGATTCGATAATTTAGAATCCGACAGTGTCACAGCATGGTCATCATATACATTGAAAAGCAGTGCAGTTCTGTAGGGGGAAATTAGAGGGTAGAAGGCATTAGACTGATTTAATATTGACCCTAGGATATAACCTCCTTGTGAAGACTTGTTTTCACATACTTTTTTCTAAAGGGGATTTTTGGCTTGCAACTGAAGTTTCTTTGATTCTGGTTAATTTAACAGGGGAGTTGAAAGCACTCCCTAAGAGGTACTTTTTTCTCTTAAGCCCCAGATGTTTCTCTGGAAGTCCCTCCTGGTATGTGACAGGCTCTGGGTTCAGGAGCCTCCCTACGTGGTGCCATTAAGTTATCACCTAGTTCTGTCCATGTCCCCCACTAGTGAAGGTACAATATTATAATTAAGGCAAATTAAAACATCAACACAACACTCCTGTTTAGATACCTAGTTATGCATATAGACAGATACATATGTAAAAATGAACTGAGAAGAGTCTATTTGCATTTTAAAATTGAAATTTAATAGTGGAGAATCCACACAGGACAACAACATCAGAGATTATTTCTATTAGTGACAGCTCTGCAGGAATAGCACATCTGAGTTAAACAAAAAGCTTTCTTAGGAACAATCTAGAAGCACACAGGTCTTTTTCCCCCAAGGGACATGAATAGCCATACAAGAAGGATTATCCAAGAGAAAGTTTATAAGGAGCTTGTAAGGAAATAGTTTTGTCACAACGAAATCATTATTTTTTTCATTATTAACACACTAATGTCTTAATTTTTATACTGATTCAAACATTTTCCCCAAATACCTTTGGGTTTTTAGTGTCGTTAAAGCTTCAAATGTATCTTTCAACATGAAACATCTATTTCCACAAAGCTCAACACATGTTAGTAAATTTCTGCAGTATGTCTGATGACCACATGTCCCGTAGAGTCATTTTTTACAAGAGTAGATCAAGTCACGAAGCATGCCAGCTCACACATGGCACAGTGTTGCCACATTATTGTCCCATTGGCAAGATCATGCTATTAGGTCTGGCATATTAACAATGAATCTTGAAAATTTAGCTTTCCAACTCTCAAATAAGATCTTAGTTTGTTCAATATCTCAGAGATGGTATCAACAAGCATTACAAATCATCTCCCCCAAACCATCTTGACTTTCTGTCACCTGGGGGTCCTATAGGCTTAGAAGTGAAAGAGCATTAAAAAGACAAAACTTCATTTGTGCCTACAGTTGGGAAAACGCAACTTCATTTTGGGATGAATTCGCTGCCCACCAGATGGCAGTGTTGCCTAAGGATGGGGCTGCAACCAGGCTCTCCACTGGGCAGGTCTTTGCAGACCTTGAGCTAGGGGAACATTTTGAACATTGGTGAAAAGCCAAAGAGACATTAAGCCCATGAACAGAGAGGGCTGCACAGACAATGTGGAACTCTTGGAAAGTCAAAAATCTAAGTCAGCTTCCAATTCAAGGATTGTGTTTGTAGAAATACTTCAATTTTATACATCCAGGTGCTGTGAAATTTACGAACGCTTTTGATTTTGATTTAAATTTTCTTATGGTTTATTTTCTTCTCATTTGCAAAGAAAGCAAAGCGGAATAAGTGATTTCAGATTTCAGTGCAAACCCATATATGACCCAGAACAGTATCTGAATCAAAAGATTTAATCATTGAAAGATAACAACTTTTTAAGAAAGGCATTAATTAAAAATATGTGTTCGTATTTATCAGGATGAATCTCTTTTTCTTTCTTAAGTTTTTAAATTTTTGGTGCACTAATAGATGTTAACATGAGTTATGGTCATATTTCTGGATAGGATTCCTTCTTTCTTTCTTTTGGTATAGGATATTGAACTCAGGGGTGCTCTACCAGCCCTTTTTTTTTTTTTTTTTTTGAGACAGGGTCTCTCTAAGTTGCTTAGGGGCTTCCTAAACTGCTGAGACTAGCTTTGAACTTGTGGTCTTCCTGTCTTAGTCTCCCAAGATGCTGGAATTTTAGTTGTGTACCATCGTGCCCAGCAGTTGTTTCTCTTTTAATTTCTTAGACTAAATGCATGCCTAGTTGGAAGACTCTAGATGTAGTGTTTCAAGGCTTGGGAGGCTCTGGGGAGAGAGTATGTGCTCGTGTTTTGTATTACACTGGGAAATTTATTTTTAAAAGGCCAAGATAGTTCTTGGTACTTTTGGGTTCCCCTTCTCTTCTCTCTTGGGCTCCCCCTGAGTAGCTACAGAGGATAAGGAGTTAACAACAGAAAGACAGTTTTTAGCAACTCCAGATCAGACCACATGAGTTCCATTTTCACAAGAAGAGCCCTGTTTTTATCAGTGGAAGGAAGAATTCTAGGTCTTTCTGATTAAGTAGGATAGGTTACAGGGGAAAATCAGAAACCATAATGATTTGAGAAAAATAAAGCAAAAAGTGAGGAAAATATTTTTTCAAAAGAAGTGTTATATTAAACTAAACAAAATTTAAAGTGTCAGCATTCATTATTGACATTATAAATGGCAGTACCCTTTTTAAAAAATATGAAGGTCTCTAAAATGTGTTTAGACTGTGAGCTAGTAAGAACACTAATGAGAATTACTCTGGAGAATAATTCAACAGGAAAATAAAGAGCCATGCACAGAAACATCCACCTGAGTCCTTCTGTTTGTACCATTCCTTCAAATAAAGTAATGTGGTACTCTCTCCCTGCCCCTAAAATAAAGGGGTGGGGGAGCCACATGCAAAGATAGTATTTGCAGTGTTGTATGTGATTCTGAAAAATAGAAAAAAAAGTCAAACGTTATGACATAATTATGATTAAATAAAATGCTCCTAGCTACTGAGTGAAACAAACACTGTACAACCTAAAAATATAAAGTAACTTTCAAATAAATACTATAAAGGCTATTAAGTAACATTTTTGATATGCTGATCTCATGAGTCATAGTGAAAAATAATGATGTGCAATTGGAACAAGGGGCACAGTCCCCTTGTGGAGGGGCCAGGACTATTCCAGTGGGGTTTCTCCTTAGCAGGGTGCTCAGGGGCAGTAATAGACTCAAAAGTACAGCTGCATCTCTGGAATGAGTCCTGGAATCAGCACCTCTCTGCTCAGGCAGTCCACTTTAGCTTTCCTACAGAAGTGAGCTGTGTGTTAGGACAGCCAGGACAGTGCACTCAGCTTCTGACTGATTAGCCTGAGGTTGGCCTTGCTAAGAGTCCTCCATGTTCCTGAGTACAGTCTGCAAATGGAAACAAAGAAGTCATGACTGTCCCCTCCAGCCTTCTCCCACTCACTGGACAATGATCGGAATTAGTGAAGCAAAAGATCCTATAAACAAGCAAAGGGGTGTCAACTCTTCCCTTTCTACAAAATAGTATCCACTTTGCATATTACCCAATTTATGGATTACATAGGGTAAAAGTTGGCTTTCCCCATGATGCTTCTCTTCCCACCATCTCCCCATCTTTTTCCCTTCCTCCCTTTGCCATTTGCAGAAACAGCAAACTAATGTTCTTATTAGTCAAAATCATGCACAGAGAGACAAATTGATTGAAATAGGAATCATACCATATAATCCCAAAATGAAGTTTAGTGATTTATGAAAAGGACTAGTGGTTCTTCAGAAGTGGTTTTGTTTGGTTGGGTTGGGGGAGGTCAGGTTTTCTCTATAGGAGTCCACTTCTAGCTAATTTGTGTATTGATTTTTGCGCAGGTACAGTTTAATGTATGTAGATAAAGTTGCAGGTTCCTAAAAACAGAACCACCATAGTAAGAAATGATACTACAGGAAGGTGATGGACCAGGAGAGGGAGGGCCTGGATTCAGCAAGTTCCCATCAGAATATATATTTTTTCATCTCAAGAAACAACTTTATTTACTAATGATCTCACTGTTTCTACAAATACTCCATTGGGTGAAAAGTTAGTGTGAAGAAAATTCAAGTTAATTGTGGTTGTTCCCAAATGTCAGTGAGAGATACTTTGTTTTGTGAATTATTTCCTATGCAAGCAAGAATAAATCTCATAAACTACTCAGAAAAGATTAATTCTGTCTTTGTAACCAATTTGAATGAAAAAGGAGTTGCTGGTAAGTTATTAAAATAATTCTAAATGCCATCTAGTTTTTATGCACAGGCCTATTTTTTTTTTCTTTCCACTTTCAACATAATTCAATTTTGAATTGTCCTTTAGATGCTGGTCATATTTAATCCTTGTCAAGTTTAGAGGTTTGAGTAGAAAAAGTGATCAGAGTACAGGTTGTGAATGAAGTGCTGTTTCAATCAAAAGTGTCATGAAAGTTCCCTCTCACTTACCTGGTTTGCTCACAGGGCAATTGTCTAGGAGGTGGGAGACAGGTGAGGAACAGGGGCCAGAAGACAGGTGGCTCTTGGACTGAGCTTGAGAAGAACACCTTCCAGAGATTATTGCCAGCACCATGTCATTCTCAAAAGGGCCAGACCTCAAGTATCCCAACAAAATTCCCAGGGATATATCAGCATCTGGAAAGGAAAAGAACTAAAACCAAAACCTCAAACAGGCATCACTTGCCTAGATTAACTTTCTTTTCTTTTGTTGCAATGCTTTTATACATGAGTGGTCTACATCGTGACTATGGAGCCAAAGTAATTTCCATTTTACATTATGCTTATGGTGAATGAATTGGAACTCAAGCCTTGGAGTTTAAAGAGCTATTACAGTTCTGTGTGAAAGCCAGGACAGAGGGGTGCGGTATGCATCAGTAAATCACCACTGTGCTCTTGTCTGGTCCAAGGCCAAGAACGCATCCATCCTCCAGAAGATAATGACAGATTCCAAAGGTCTGACTTCTTATTAGCAAATTCAGGACATAAAAGTCGTATGCATTTTTTTTTTAAAAAAGTTAACTCAAGAGAGTCAAAAACTAACATTAATTGTAAATTAGATGCATGATGTGTTTTTCTGTGCCAATCAGATGATTAGCAAATGGTTTGTGCCTGACCTCCGTTCACAAATACCATGGAGATTTACTCCAGGCCTCCCTGTCATTCCTCCTATACTGATAAATACGTGAAATCATGTTTTAGTACTTTGCTCAAAGAAATAGAGAGGGGGGATTCACTCTGTATTCCCATCAAATATTTATTTTGCTTTTGGAAATTGTGTTCAGAATGGAGGGTTAATAAGAGAGATGGCTGACTTACATTATTTAAATTAGGGAGAACCTTTTTAAATTAAAAAAGAGATCACTAAAAGCAGTGTATCAAATCCAAGTAGTCATCACCGAACATGTTTTCAAAATTAAAAAAGTTCATATTTTGTTGCAATTTTTAAGATATAATAAGAAAATTAAAATCTTCCCTTTTCCTCTCCCTAATACTATTTTCTTTTTCTCCCTCTCTCACTGTATAAAATCAGTGTATTTTAGTTATGTAATTAAGTATGAATTAGGTATGTAACTGGTCAATGTGTTTATACCATATACAAAAATATATCTGTAAATAATTGATTTTGTGGGTATTTTATAAAATCATATAGAGACACAATCTCATATCACATATAAAGTCATCCTGCTTAAATTTCTTCTCAATGTTCTTCTGGATCTCTATCCATATACCTGTCTATTTGTTTAATTTATTTAATCCATTTAATACTGCAATGCAGTAGTCCATCATGAAGATTATGTCATAATCCATCCATTTCCCTATTCCTGGATATCAGATTATTTCTTTTTTCTTTACAATTATGCTAAAATGGACTTTTCTGTTCATGTTTCCGTATGTGACTACACAGAGCCAGTGGAAAATGAAACTCTGGGGCAGAATGTTCTTTTCAAAATATAGGGGAAAAAGTGCTGTTAAAGGCACTGAAATAGTAGCTTTTTCTTTTCTTCCATGATCTCTCTTGCTCTTTCTCTCTTGCTTTCTCAACTTGCCACAGTGTTTCTTTATTTCCTAATGTTCTATGAAGAAAAAAATTGAGTGTAAATTATTATCATGAATTTTACCTTTCATTTTATGTCTATTACAAATACAAACAGAAGCTATTTAACTTATATGCCAAATCACAGAAATCTGTTGCCTTGCATTTCATAGCTCCTATATAGGTATGCATTCCATTCTTACCAGGATAGTGGGAACTCTGCACAAAGCTCACTTACAGTTTTCATTTCACTTCTTGATTCCTGCTCTACCCACACCTCTTACCTGAAGAATGAGGGGAAACTGAAAGGGAAAGTTGTCTTTCTCTTTTCTTCACTGTCATCATTTTCAGAAAGTCTGGTTGGCTAATGCCAACCAGTAACATGAATGGAAAAGGATACAGCAGGCTTCCTTGGTCTCTCCTGCTTCTTGGAATGCCAGAGCCTTCTGTTTGCATGGAAGCCACATGTGGTTCAAATGGACAGTGTGGCCTCTTGGGGCAGCTGATTCTCCATTTCCATGGGGGGAGATGAAGCATGCTTACTTTGTGCTCCCTCTGAGTTCTGCTGAACTCTCACACATCAGGGGTCCACGGGAATTTTGTGCTCATGGAGCATCCCATCCTGATACCATCTGTGAATAGGGCAGCTGGACCAGTGGGCTCCTCTGCTCACAATGTGCTCGATTGTCCTATCAAACTTCACTCAAAATCACAAGTTCAAAAACACAATTATTAGGAATTTCAAGACAGTGAAAGCACAGCATAAACAAGGCACAGGGCCCTTCTGAGGGGTAGCTGGTCCTGTGCCTGTATGAGGGTTTCCTTGGTACATGTGTCCAGAAGTAGGTTCCAAATGGTTATGCACATTGTCAGTTTTAACCTGATGTGACAAAAATGGCTGAACAAATTTACACTCAAATGGGCAATATACAGTGCATCCCTTGACTCATCCTCACTCACTCTTCATAAAAGTGTGTTTGCCAATTGTGTTATTTCTGCTGTTGTTTCCCTGGGTGACTGAACAATGTTTCATGCGTTTGTTTATTCTGGGGGTGTGAACTTCCTGTTCTATAACCTCTGCCCATTTATCTACTAGCTTGTCTCTCCTTGGGTATTGATTTGTAGGAGTTTTGAAGGTTGTTCTTTAATACATTTTCAATACTATCCTTGAATGCTGTATATCTTGCTAATGTCTTCTCTCAAGCTAATTCTCTTCTTTTAACTTTGTAAATCAGGCTGTTTATTCTACAAAAGCATTAAATTTTGTGGCAGCCAATTCTATTCATTTTTTCCTTTATTTGTTTATTTGTTTGTTTGTTTGTTTTTCTTTCCTGGCTTAAAAGAAAAAATATAGTCTACTATGTTTTTCTAAAGTTTTAAAGATATTTTTCAAAAATTTGCTTTCTTTTAAGTGTTAGATACTTAGGGCAGCTGGAGTTTGTTTCTACCCGTGAGGTCAGGTAGCAATTTAACTTTTTACTTATTTTTCTATGGGAAGTCAGCTTCTCCAACACTTTTTATTAAACAACCCCTATCCGTGTCTCCACTGATCTTCACTGAGCTGTTTCTCAGATCCCTGTTCCAACTTATGTAATAGAGCTTTGAATGAGTCTTAATACCTGGTTGAGTAAGAACCCAGTACTTTTAAATAACCCATTTTCTGTTCATTTTTTTAAAATAACAGAAATAACAAAACAAAAACAAGTTTTTTTCGAGTTTTCAAGATGCATTAAGAAATTCTTCAACCTACATAGCGTGAAAACACAGTGACTTTGAAATCAGACTTGAGTTCTTATCCCAGGCTTGTCATTTTCTGGCTGTTTGAACTTGGGGCATGTTTCTTAACCTCTGAGGCTAGACTCTCTAATCTGTAAAATGGGGATAATAAGATCTACGACCTAAAGCTATTGAGAGGATTAAGTGAGCTAAGTGCCTGGCAAACCTAAACACAGAAAATATTACTTTTCTTCCCCTTTCCTGTCCTTGAAGAGTCGTGTGTTTCTTGATTATTCTGTTCACTCATAGACTCTACAAAGGACAACTGGAGCTTGCTTAAAGGCAAAACAAAATTTATCCTGGGCCGATGATCTGATTCAGTCACTTTTCTAAAACCCAAATAATTGGGCTTTGGGAAAAGCTAACACTGCAAGAATGTCTTTAAGTCGCTCAGCACCTGACTGCTGCTTTTCTTATTAATTAAATGACACAAACAGGTCATAATAAGACCAGAGCCAATCAGCACCCCTCCACATACACACACCCCAATTACACAAACTCAACTCTCCTGACAAGTGCTGAAAAGATCAAAAGGACTGAGAATCAATAGGATTAAGAGTTTGAAATTCTAACGTCTTACCCACAGTGAGACTGGGACTTCCAACTCTCTAGCATTGCTTGGACCAACATCATTTCCTCAGATGGGGAAGAATTCTTTAAACTAATACACCTTGAAACCTGGGATGGAGGTGAGAACATGCTTGGAATTTCATCATGTCCAGGTAGAAACCTAAATTGAAGTGACTGTTCTGGAAGATCAAAGGGAAAAAGGTACATCGAGAATAAATACAGGGCTAATCTGGCTGCAGCCAAAGGAGGAAGCTAATGGGCCTCTGAAACTGGTGGTTAGGCCCTCTCTGGAAGCTTCCACCAGGCAGGGCACAATATCAGAGGGAAATAAGACATAGATGAATCACCAAGCAAAATAAATGGTCCATGCAGGTCATTTTCTGATGAAATGAAGAGGCCCAGCTAGGAGGATGTTGAAGGCAGTTGGCATGAAGAAAAGAATGTTTTGCTGCAAAGTAAAGAGACTGTGCCTCCTCTGGAGCTTCCACTGTGCTTCAGTTCCACAAGAGAGACATCATGCTGTGGGGAGAGGCTTCAGGAGCAAACCTATGTTCAAATCCCAACTTCAGGTCTTGCTAGCTTCACCACATTACTTAGCAAATTCTGAGCTCTGGGTTCTCAATGTACTAAATGGAAAGAGAATTTCAACTTTAAAGTATTATTTGAGAATAACCTGAATTGGTATATCACCAAGAGTTCTCAATACAGGGGGGCTCTATTTATGTACCCACTAGAGTTCTGCACCTGGAAATGTTGTCTGTCTTTGGTGGGCCTGAGGGAAGAGCAGCCTGAGTTTTGCTTTTTATCAGCTTCATCAAGCTTCCTATTTCTGGGGTCCTCCACTCCTACAGTAAGTTGGCTATTTATCTCAATGAGCTTCCCTTTTCCTCCCCCACTCTCAGCAAAACCTCCCCATTCTTGGTTCAGCTCCACTATTTTGTATGCCGAGTTGCATGAATATATTAAGTCCCAGATTCAGAAGGCCTCCTCAAAGTTTGTGAATGGGATATCTGTGATGCAGAACATATGGTCCCTTGATCACAGTATTCCAAATCAGTGTCTCCTTTGGGAAATCTGATTTAGTAGATTGAAGGACACAGGAATCTGTGTTTAGCAAATATCTTTAGATCCTTGCAATCAGTATGGTTTGGGATCTGAGTACCTATCACCAGGGAGCTTGGTTTAAAATGCAGAATCTTGGGCTTCACTTCATTATTATCAAATCAGAAACTGCATTTAAAAAAAATTCTCAGGCATATTTGACATGTAAAATACAGGCTGCCTAATTAAATTTGAATTTCAGATAAACAATGAAATTATTTTTTAGCATAAGCATGTCCCTAAATATAAGATCTACGATCTAAAGCTATTTAGAGGATTAAGTGAGCTAAGTGCCTGGCAAACCTAAACACAGAAAATATTACTTTTCTTCCCCCTTCCTGTCCTTGAAGAGTCGTGTGTTTCTTGATTATTCTATTCACTCATGGACTCTACAAAGGTGGAGCTTATACTTTTGTTTGCTAAAACTGGTAACCCCATCTTCAGGTTATTTTTATGCACATTAAAGTTTGAGAAGTACTGTCAGTAGATCAGTAGGTTTTAAACTTTTGTATGCCTCAGAATCACCCAGAAGTCTTGTTAAAACCCAGATTGCTGAGCCTTATCCCTAGAATTTCTGAATCAATAGGTCTGGGTAGGGACATGATTTAAGCACACACTTGGAGGGCAACAGCTCCACATGATGACTTGATTCCCAGATCAGCCCACAAAATGTGCAGTTCTTAGAGCTTGTATAACATAAAGACTGAGGACCCCTCCAACACTCATGTCTATGAATAAAGAGTGAGAGATTAACAATCTCTGATTCCAAGCCAATAGCCTGTAAAACTTGACCACCATTTATAACAAGGTCTGGAAAGACTTGTGTGACTGCCCATGTGGAGCACCTAAGAACTCATCTCCTTCTGGATTTGTGTGTATTTCCTGTTTCCTGATGATAGTGCCCAAAGCATGAAAATGGAAGGATGGGAACAGATGGAGTTAAAGCCAGAATCAAACTCTTATGGGACTGAGTGAGAGTAGGACCAGATTTTAGAGGTCAGATTTGGGGTGGGCATGAGGACTAAGTATGCAGAGTGGTCAATGGGGTTGCCAATGGTGGGAAGTGAGGAGGAAAGGTGGGCAGCACTGGCTCCTCATTAGGACGAGTGGCCCCCACTGAAGTGCCCGTGAAAGTAACAGGACTGTAACTGCTCCACAATCTCCTTATCATTCCTCAAGTGAGCAATAGGGAAATGACAGGACTGTGAGGGAGAACAGAAACAATGCAAGGAGGTCAAATGCCTGGCTCCTTTAGTAGGCACAGTAGATCACAACAGCTGCTATTACAGCTGCAAGAGGGTTTAATGCTACTTTACATTAACTTTCTATTGTAGAGACTCTCCCCTTACTTGTATTTGATTTCATGAGATAATAGGTTTAGGAGAAATGTCATCTATACTCTGTGGTGGTAGAATTCTCTTATTTAAAAATATACATAGTGAGATGTATATTTCCACCCCTATATTACTCCTTCCTAGTAAACCTCCACTCTCGTTCCTACTGCCTTAGATGAAATGAAGGTGTCTACATAAGACTTGGAGCCTAGATTTATAAGGAACAAGCCCCTGGTCCTCAGGCAGTGCCACTGAAAGGTTAGCTGTCAGCTGGAATCCGCTGGGGGAGGCACCAGATGACATCTGAAAAGTGAGCTTATTTAACAACTTTCACATCATTGTGAACACAACCCAAGGGTTCACCAGTGGGGTTTTGTGCCTTGTTTTATAACACCTTATTTTAAAAACAAACATGCAGTACAGTTGACTGACTATTTGATATATAATTCTAGGAATAGATTTGTGTGACCACTACTATCAGGATCCAGAACAACTCTATCACCTTAAAAAATTAGTGGTGCTGTCTCCACCCTTAGCTCCCAGCAACAAGCGATCCATTCTCCATTGCTATACTTTGTCTTTTTGAGAATGTTATATGACAGAAATTATAAAGAGTGAAAAAGCCAGTCTTGCCTTGTTTTACATTCTTCAGTAAAGTTTTTTTTTTAATTGACTCAATAGCAGAATAGGAGGCAATGAAAAGATTCATTTGTAAATTAGACTTTTTTATTGTCATCCCTCAGGTGCCCTTACATACTTTTCCTTACCCCTATCAGAAATGTTTCCCATGTTGCTGCTTCCCAATTTCCTCATCCTCTCCCTCTGGTTTTTTCCTCCTACTCTGTATTTCTCCCCTTTGCTTTCTCAGAAAGTCAATCTGAGCATGAATTAAGCAACATGACACAGCACATTTGAAAACACACAGATCTCCAATGTCAGCCTGGGTCTATTAGGATAGGGGCAAGGGAACCTGCCTCCTTGGTCCTCAGTTTCCTTAGGGTAGAAAAATATCTATTCTGAAGAGCTGGAGTGAGGATGAAATGAGAGGTTGAATGCAAAGCCCCTGGCACAGATTAGGCAATCAATACACATTTATTGTTCTGAGCTTTTGGTATTAATAGTGCTCATTATTAAAAATTTTACATTTGCTTGTTCATCACAGGAGCCCACAGATCATTCCATCAGAGACTTCAAACATGCATGTGCACAAAACTGAATTTATTTCCTTTTTTGAATATTTAGTTTTTAGTTGTCATTGGAATACTTTTACTTATTTACTTATTTATTTTGTGGTGCTGAGGATCGAATCCAGGGCTTCGAATGTGGTAGACAAACATTCTACCGCTGAGCCACAACCCCATCCCCCAAATTTATTTCTTATCAAAATAGACCTAGAACAACAGACTATGTTTTCATACATTGTTATGATAGCATAGAGAAGCTCACATAGGAGTAGATACCAAAACATCTTGCTCTTTCATGGTCCCCTGTGTGACCTTGACCATGGCACTATGTCCTCCTTGGTTCTTGATTTTTTTTTTTTTTAACCTGAAAATGTGAGGCTGACCTCAAAGCTCTCAACGGTTTCTCATAGCTTTAAAACTTCTAAAACTCCAAGTACACACACACCACAGTTTTAAAATTAGCAAGTTCTTATAAGCTATCTCTCCAGGCTGAGTTGAATTTCTGCTTGCTGAGTCTGAAGGTGTGGACCAACTCCTCTCCCTAGTTTATTATTCTGACACACAACTGGATCTATACAGAAATGTGGAGAGATTATTAAGTGAATCTAGATGGTATAAGCAGTAACTAGATGACTGTCTTTAGGAAACATATAGGGCCTGTCTGGTCAAATATCATGAGAAAGAAAAAAGAGAGAAGAAAAAGCCTGAATTCTATTGGTTTCTTCCATGTATATTTCATTTAATAATATTACATGGCAATTGTTAAATTTCATAAACATCTAATATGTGCCAGACATCAGGCTGAACACCTGTATGGTATCTCATTTAATCCTCACAATGTATTTTTTGGCAAGGTGTTAGGATTGCCATTTTAATCCCCCTTTTAACTGATTAGTAAACTGACCCTCAGAAAGGTATAGTAGGTAGCCCATAATTATACATGTAATAAGTGACAGAAAACTGGATAGAGCTAAAATAAGTATAAGTAACTTAGAACAAGAATTATATTCATTCCATTACTAAAAGAAGACACTCCTCTCCAAGGGTTGGCCTCATCCCCTCTGAAAGTCAGTGTCCAAAAGTGCTTGAATGTAACTAGCATTCCCCTGACTAGGGGTTGAATGAATAAAGGTAAAAAGGAAGGGAAAAAAGAAAGTTGAGATAGGAATTTGAAGTAAAGAAGAGGGAGGGGAGAATTCTGCGAAGAAGAAAGGAAAAGAAAAAGTATGGGAAGGTCAGGTTTCAGAGTGGCAGCTAATGGAAGCTGAAGGCTGAAAATTTCCAAGTCTTCCTGGCTCTGGGAAATCACAGAAAGAAGGGGAGGGAGTGGGAGGCCTTCAGGCTAAGCAATTACCTAAGAGGACCATGATGAAGACAGAAGGCTAGGAGATGCTGCCTTTAGGAACAGGAGGAGATGGGTAATGTTTTCTCTGTCCTTGGAGTAGAGAAACTCATGGAAATTCCCTTGCCGTTTCCAACTTTCGACTAGCAAGAAGGCCAATGTTTCTCATCTGAAACAGGAGAGATTTCCTTTCAATATAAGTGAGAGGAAACAATATCTGTCAAAAAATTCCCAAATGGTGCTTCCTCCTTCTCTTCACCTAACTGCCATAGGAAGGAAAGAAAAAAACTTGTGAATTGATGGGCAAATAGAAGCCACGTGGAAAGATGAGAAAGGCTAGGGATTCTCTTTGAATCACTTTAAAAAGTATCATGCCACTTTGAAAAAATGGACAGAACAGACCCTAAACTTGTATTTCCATTCACCATAAAAAACATATGGGAGAAAGGATCCTGAATTCAAAACTAGACTTTGTAAAAGGGTGAAGCAAAACAAGAAATACACTCAGATTAATTAATGATCCTAAGCACTTATCAACCGCTGGGTCCTTTAATCCTCAAAACAATCCTGTGAGGCCTTCAGGTCTGTAATTACCTAAAAGGATTCTTTCTCCATTTTACAGATGAGGAAAGTGAGATAGAGACGTTAAGCAACTTGTTGCAGCTGGCACAGGTAGTAAGCAGCTGATCTAGGATTCAAGCCTAGAAGAGGGTCTGACTCTCAACGCTCAATCCAGGACAAATGCCAATCTGCCTCCAAAGACTGAGAAAAAAACAAAACAAATCCAAAGCTCGAGAGCCTCAGTGAGTTCCTTATCTCCACAAAAGTAAGACTGATGAAGGATCCCAGGCTCTGGAGGAATTGTGTGTTGACCTGAGGAAAGAAAAATAAAGATGCAGGAGATACAGATCTACAGGAGTGACAGGTGGTAGCAGGAACCTCAAAGTGGGAGGAAAAAGATCTGAACTTCAGGTCCTCTTCATATTAGCTTTGTGATTATAGGCAAGTCATTTAACTTCTCAAAGCTCCAGTGTCTTCTGTAGAATAGAAACAACACCTGCAGGGAACCTGACTTAACTGAACGGAATAGCAGTATAACCCAGAAGTTGTCACACACATTCATGTCCAGGTGGAGACCTCGGGGGGTTAGGATTATGAAGTAGTTCCGGATGAGAAATTTGAAGGAAGGAAAAAAATATATACCTGGTGAGTTTATTAGAACCCTTAGACCTTCAAATAAATGAATAAGCAGGCCAGTATCAGTCTGCAACAAAATACCTAGTATGTGAGATGCTTTTTCTTTATGCCAGACTAAATTGTTCCACCTGCATTTTTTTTTAAACTTTTATTGAAGTCCTCTTTAGAATCTGTGCTGGGAGTGACAAATGAGAAGTCATGAGATGTTGGAAATAGCCACAGACTTTGAAAGGCCATAGATCAAGAATTAAGCTAAGGCCACAACATGCCACAAGTTTAAACGAATGGCCAAGGCAGGCAGGCAATTGACTCTGGACTCTTGCCCTTGACCAGACTGTTTATGGTTAGTGGCCTTCCCATCCTTCCTTCTGGCTTCTGTTCAGCTGACCTTTCTAGAGGATGGGCAGCCCTGGATTTCAAAACCCACAGAGATCTCTCCTTCCCATTTAGCCTCCTTTTCTTTCCCATCCCTTATTGTCATAGAAATGTGTTAGATTTTACACAATGTAATTAATAGATTAAAGACATGGCTAAGGTAAATAAGGTTTAGCACTACCAAGAAAGCATTGAAACGTCATGTCCTCTTCTCCCCCAGAGAAAGTGCTAACTGTATAAATTTTGTTGCTGTTGTTGTTTTTTGTTTTTAGCTTCTAGGAAAAATGACAGAAGAAAAGTGCTGGACCCATACCTAAAAGACTTAGATACTAAATCAGCCCTTTCTGTTGTAAGGCTGTGTAACCTTGGACACGTCACTTTACTGCTTTGATCTTTACTCATTTTCCTCAGTGGTAAAGTGACTTAAGATAACTATAGATGTGACAGGGAGGAATTTTTTAATTTCAATTAATAATATCAAAAATATCTCCCACATGTATATTAGTATTTGTTAGGATGAGGCCAAGGTGGAAGAAAAAAGAGTCCGCTTCAAATAAAATAAAATTGTAGAAGCATGTGACTAAAATTGTGAAGGTGATATTTAAAAGAAGAATAATTGGACACTCCTGGCTGCTAGTCCTTCATCACAGAAGTCAGGACCATGACTTGACCAGCTCTTCTATTTCTCTACCTGGCACTCCCTTTCCTTTGCCCTCCCTGCCTCCATCAGGGCTTCCTGTCATTGTCCAGGAGAAACCTGTAGAACACATCTGTCCACTTTTCTGTATTCCTTAGGTATAAAACTGCAGTCGGTACAAGTGACCACATCATCAATTGTTGTTCACAAATAAAAATTTTAGTGAGGCCAGCAGCATATCATATTCCCTTTTACAATTTTTATAAAATTATCAGATCTTGCTCATATCTCTGGCCCTCAGTTTTTCATGAGCTCGCTCCTCCGGTTTCACACATGCCTTTTTCAAGTGACTTCTTAGGAATTATCTGTATTCCAACTGAGAAGAAACTGGAGTAAACAAGCAGGTTTCCGACTAGTTCTATAAAAGTTGTGCCCAAAGCAACGGAGAGGCTTTAGAATGTCCTGATATTGCCTTAAAATAAATATTATGATCAGTAATGTTTTTATTTATGGCAAGCTTTGATCCTTCCAGAGTGGTGCATCAAAAGCAAGCTACTATTAGCAAGGACATGCAGAAACCACTTGGTCTACCATGGTTGGTACAGAAGAGCTCAGTGAAGGATAAGCAAGCAGGAACGGGCTGGGCAGATTTAAAGACTCTAACTGAGAATTTCAAGGGGATGATCAGGATAACAGATTTACTAAACCCTATTAGGGCAAGAGAATGACAAACAGAACTTCAAGAACTATTTCTTCTTTCCCCTTTCCAACATATTATACTTTAAATTGCTAAGCAGGCAAAGGAGGTTTCTTTGGAGTGAGCATGATGAAATGGAAGAGTTAGGGGCTTCTCTGGTGGACCCTGAAGGAAATCAGTGTCTGTAGATGTACCCCTCCAAATCTGGATGATGTCCTGGTCCCTAGCTCTGATGATAAGACTTGGAAGTAGCCATTGGGGTTCAGATCTATACAGCTGATGCAGTGTGGGCCCCATTAGTAAGAAGGTTCAGTAATGGAAGATACTGTTTGGTTTTGATTCCGTATTTTCTGCTCACTGAGGGAAGAGAGGGAACGCATTCCAGCTCCTCTGCATTGGCCCAATGGGAGCCTTTTCTCCCTGCCTTGGTTTCTCCCTTACCTGTGCATTCCATGGGTTTCCTGCTCCTCCCCGCCCCACCCCATCTCCATCTAGCCCTTGGTTTAGCAGTAGTAGGCAGACAGTAAGCTTGGGACTAACAGCTTCACTGTGAGGGCCATGAGCTCTTAGGTGGATCATTTAATGCGTCTGAGCCTCCATTTCCTCATGTGTGAAATAGGGACAATAGCAGTACCTACCTCATAGCGCTCTGGGGAGAATTTAACAAGATGGAGTATCTAAGTCACTTCACAAGCTTCTTTGCACAGAATGCTCAGTTAACATCCATCTAATAAACCATGCTGCTCCCTCTTATTGAAATGGAGTACATCTCCCTGGGGAGAGAGACAAATCTTCAGAGTCCTGGAAAGTGAGACAATAAAATAAAACATAACCCTAAAGCACATTTTAATGAAAGAAGAAGTAATCTCATTTAATTCCTTAGCTGAGATAGTACCTAAACACTGTTGACAATGTTGGCTTTTCTCTCAGTCATTAATTTCAAAGAAATTTGCAGCCAATGGGCTATCCAGGCATAGTCAATGCTCCCTGTAGTAATATAGGAGTGTTTTGACTCCCCCACCTGCTGTATCTAAGCCAGCGACTTAGTAAATAAATGGTCTGAGGCTTGGTGCTCAGCCTTTGGCTTCTGTGCCTGTTAACATTTCCCCTGGGCTCCTGGAATCTTCTAGATTGATCATACCCAAATTTTGTGTCATTAAGTGTCAGATTTCTCTTAGGAAGACAGTCAAAGCTTTTATTGCAGCTCTCTCTTATCAAGGGAAAGAGTATGTAAGTGAACTTGATACCAGGAGTAAGACACTATGAGACCAATCATTAGGATTTTCATGATTATTTGATAGTGGTGTGCCACTCCCTTCATGTCCCTTTCCCACCCTGTTTAATTAACAATGGGATAGAACATTATATAGGGAGTCCATACTAGCTGCCATTTAGGAAAGTAAGGAATTTGAACCATAAGAGATTGGCAAATGCTTTCATGAATCATGACTTTTTAATTGGTTTTCCCCTTACTGATTATAGGAATAGGTTTTGATATCTGGTGAAACTCAGAATTTTTTTTTCTTTTTCTTTTTTTTTTGAAACAAGTCCTCACCATGTTGCCCAGGCTGGCCTTGAACTTGCAATCCTCTGGTCTCAGTGCCTCTTGAATTTTTTTTTTTTCTTTCTGAGTTTCTCCTACTTTTGAGTCCTCCCTAACTTGGAAGAGTGAAATCATAATGGTAATTTACTTCTTGGCAATAGTTAATCACAAATGAAATTTACCTGTTTTCCTCCAGGTTGTCTCAGAAGAGGAAGAGGACTCCTTCTTGCAGCAGGTTTGATGATTGCAGATGTCCATCATATTATACACTAGAGGACAGTGGAGACAATCTAATTTCTATTTCTACACACTCAAAAAAAAGTGTGGAAGACAAGAAGGAAGTGTCCCTATAAAATGTCCTCTAGACATAGGAAGGAAGGTAAGAGATATCTCCCAAAATGTGGAGACTCTTGGTCTGCCAAGAGAGCTCTAAAAGCAGCCACCTACAGAAGGATGGGGCTGCTGCACAGAAAGAACTGGTCCCAAGGGTTGTGTTCAGGTCTTTAACATAAAATCCAAATCTATCTTCATTATCACTCACTCGCTTCATCTATTTACTTAAAATATGTTGTCAAGAGCATCTGTAAAGGAGCTAAGGTATTTAATTTTGACAGCCGACTGATCTCCCATCTTATTCCAGACCTCTCTAGCTAGTGGGTTGGCCATGAACACTGACTGCCACATTTGTGTAGCAGACTTTGAGTTTCACCAAGCCTGTGGTAACTAGATTGGTCTGAATCCCAGGTGTCAGCTGGACCTGTCATAGCAGTAGAGAGGGAGTCATCTGTACAATGCCAAGTTTGTGCTCACATTAGCTTACAGCATAATCAATTTATGCAAAGTATGTAAATGTCTTGTTGGAAACAAAAAGTATATTGAGACAGAGAAAAGTTCAGCTCATCTCTATCAATAATGACACACACTTTCAGGCATTCAGGATTTTTTTTTTTCCAGTTCAGTTCCCAGAGGTAACTCAGAGCACAATGGATACTTCTTACTAGGTATAATGGACATTGAAGAACCCAAGAGCTAAAAGACAATGGAAAGAAACTATCCTAAAATATATTAAAAGTATCCTCTCGTTCATCTGATTTATATCATGAACACTTATTTCAGATGAGTTTATAGAGTTCTAGGCAAGAAATGTGCATGAGACATTTCCACTTCTGACCAAGCCGTTACTCCTTTTGCCTCATACTTAGTTTGATTAATAATAATAATAATAATAATAATAATAATAATAATAGGCAAGAAAATGCATTACCACAGCGGAAGAAAGGAAGAGCAGAAACCAACAAGCACAAGGAAGAATGATGCTGACATTTATGAAGTTCTTTAGAAAGGAAAATTTCTGACCCACCCATAGTGTTCACATTTCAAAAAGGAAAACTAAACAAGAGGAGGAAGGAGAGAATGAAGAGGAGGAAAGGATAAGAAAGGGAAAAAAAGAATAAAAGCAGTAGTCTTCATCTGGAAAAGCTTCATCCTTTGGGATGTGTTAAACAATTCACTGTTTTTTTTTGACTTACAGAAACCATCACCAGGTGTTGGTAGTTGGTCTTGTCCTTGCTAAGGCTCTCTACAACTCCCATCATTCATATGGGTGTCATTGAAACAGGGACTGATACTACATTACCCCATTATTTGGGAGAATATGGAGCAAGTGTCTGTCATGTTGGCCATCATTTTTTATTTGACAAAAGTAAAATCTATTCTTATGTAATCGCCACTCCTTGGAAGCTCCCCAAATGACAATATCTCTCATTTCTTTCTCAATATATGCAAATTTTACTACACACTTACTTAGCAACTTTAAACACAAAAGATTTGATACTGCTTATGCCTTGACCAACCAGGAAATCCCCAGGGAAATGTGAACTTGTTCATACCCATAAAAACAGCTATTTTAATGAAACAATACATTATGGACCCAACATTTGACTGTACACAAGGATTTGTTTTTGCTACATTTTCTATGTTACAGAAAGGTTTTTAACAGATAAATGTCTTCCTGTTGCATGCATATTTTATGGAAAAATAATTGCATATCCTCTGCTTATGATCTTAACCACAGGCAAGCTGCATGTACTCAAACTGCAGCAATAATGAGATGTGAACATGGTTAAAATTTTGCCATAAAATCATGATGTTAAATTATCAGGGATATTTAACAACAATAACAACATCTTTTTTTCTTATGTTTACCTACTTCATCTCAATCTCATATTATTTCAAAGAAAGAAAACTTCATTGCATATTCTAGCAAAGTGTATCGGTAGGGGAAGGTTTAACAGAGCCAGAGAGAATGTGCAAGGAGTGAGAAAGTGAATTGATGGATGGATGGTTAAATGAATATAAATGAACTGACACCTTTACAGGAAAATAACATTTCTTTTCTTTTTTTATTCTATAGATCAGTGGGTTTTGTATCTGTAATTCTTTCATATCAGCAAAGAGGAAATAAACTCTCATGTAAATCATTTTCCCCCCATCTGGAGCATATTAAAACCATGCCTTTTTTTCTTTTAAGCAGACTCTTTTTCCCTATTTGCTTATCAGTTCATCCACCATTACATTTTAAATGAAATTGCAAGACCCTTGTCCCTCCCCCAAATTTCAGCCTGATGCAGGAAAGTGGGAAGTAGACTTTTCTTGCTTTAGAATAGTGACCTAGATTCAATTACAGATAGACCCAGAAGAGAGAAGTGACACCTCACAATTTTCTTAGGTCTTGAAAAAAAATTTAAAACCCCAAAACAATACTTAGTGGAAAAGAATCTGTTTATTTTCCCCATTTTCTATCTTCTTCTCTGCCTTAATTGCATTGCTTTGGTCCATTTAATTATTCTGGTATACCATCACAATAGGCTTCCCACGGGATAGTCTGAATCATAAAAACAAGCTTTTCAAGGAAATTTCAGAGTTTGTTTTTGAAGGTAGGTGTCTACACAGGGAATGTGTGTTATTCTGCAAACTGAACTCAGACAAGATGAAAAATTCGCATAAAAAGCAAATTTCTCCTTTGTCCTTTAAAAAAGCAAGCAAATTACATTATAAAATACATCTATTATAATTGCATTGTAGAAAAACAGTGAAGAACAACAACAAAAAATAAACCACAAACAGGCGTATATATGTTTTATTGCTTTTCCAATTACTGAGGGAAAACGTGGTCAAAAGAAATAGAGGGAAGAATCTTGTGATTCTGCTTATTGACTTTTATCACTAAATTAAGCATACAAATGACCTTAACGGGTGGCTTGGTATATTAAATTTTAAAAAAGAAGAACAATGATTCGCTTTTCTTCTCTTCCCTCTCTGATCTCCGTCTGAAAGGAGTGTCCCAGAGATAAGAGAGATGGGATTCAGGTCCGCGCTACTCGGGTTGGCCCTCTTTACCAGGGAGCGGGGAGGCATTTGCCTTCTCTGCAGAATTTCCGTTCAGGGTTCACAATAAGCGGTCTCAAGTGGGGCGCATTGCCTGTCACCTCCACCGCCCTTCAAACAAAGAAGCCAAAGTCGGTTGTCCCAAGACGAAAGCGCATGAGAAGCTTTGAAGTGCGCGAGGGCTACGTGCAGGTGTGGACACCTCAACTCTAGCGGCGGGTTTGGAGTGGGCGTAGGAAGAGGGCAGAAGTGAGTTCCGGTCTAATGCGGGTATCCGAAATGAAAAAACTGAAAACCGCGCAGAAGTCAGGACCAGGGGTAGGAAAACCGAGCAGGGGTGCTGCTTCCCTTCTCAAACACCATCTGTGAATGGGGTTTCCCGGGAGACTGTCTTAGACCTTGGGAAGCAGGGTTCGCCTGGGCACTGGCCGAAGCCCTGGGGCGGTGGATGAGCGTCGGGACCTGCTAGAAAGGTTTCCGGGCCGTACCGGGCGGCTCAGGAGGCCCCCAGGGAACCGGGGGAGGATTGTTTCATTTCAAAGTGAAAATCTGCAGGCTTTGGGAAACGATATTCAAAAAAGTATATATAATCTCCATATGCCGCTCAATGGAGGATCCTCATAATTTACAGCAGCAGATAAGGCTAGAGGGTGTAATAAAAAATCTGAAGCTCTCCCCTCCCCCTCGCCGCCTCCCCGGAATTGCACCTTGGGCAGCGGAGCAGAATCCGGAATGTGAACTTCTCCCGACATATGTTTCCCGCAGATAAGTAAACAATCTGGACGTGAAATGGAAATGGTAATTAATGCAGTAATGCTGTTACACCTCGAGTGTGCAAATCCCATTGACTCGCCGCGCCACGGGGGGTGCCGGGCTAAAGCAGACCCGCGGCGTGCGCCCAGGCCACCCGCTCCCTCCCTCCTTTTTCTCCCTCTGTCCCCGGGCGGGGCGTCCGGCGTAACTGCCGGGGACTTGGCAGAGCTGCGGGAAGTCGGGAGCTGCTTAGCTTCCCAGGGAAGTCCGGGTTCTTCGCCCTGCACCTGCTTAGGCAAGTACGCAGCGCTTGCCTCCGAAGCCGCACCTCTCATCCACTTTTCTTAGCTGTAAACGCAGTGCTAAAGTCAGGGGCTCTGAGTAGTGGCCCAGCCTAAAAGCATCCCGGAAAACAGGCGCTCTCTATCAGGGATCAGCAGGCGGCGCAGGGGCCTGGAAGCCCACAGAACTCCCCCACCCTAGTGCGGCCGTCGGGTGTCGCTTTTTTAGCCAAGTGCAGCCTAGCCGACTGGCAGAGTTTTCTAAAGTCCCTTTCTATACTTGCCCTGAACACACTGATCACGTTTGAATTGCTTCTTTTCTGGACTCCAGTAAACAAGTTTGGAAATGGCCACTGGCCGCTGGAATAGCACAACTCTTTGTAGCAGACTTCTTTTGGCCTCCTGTCGTCTTGGATACCAGTCCCTTCCTAAGCCTCAGCCAAACACTTGGAGCCTTTGGGAGGTCAAGGAGGATACCCAGTGTAGGGATCTGAGCGAAAATGACGAAGAATCTGGGAGGCAGCCCACGGACGCATAAAGCCCTCGGCCCTTCCAAAGAGCACAGATTTCTCACACTCTCCCCAATGGCTGGGCGCAAGCCCAGGATGACCGCTCTGCAATATGCAGGGCCAGAGGCTGGGCTAAGAGAGAGCTGGCCCAAAACCCTTTTCCTGCCTTCAGGCACCTTCCAGCAGGCCTCCCAAGCGCCGGACTGTAGAAGGCGCAGAGCTGGGGTTAGGAAGGGGCTAAGAGCCCTTTGTGGACGCCCCAGAATTTTTAGCGCCACACCCGCCCACCTGCCTCCAATTCCATTATTTCTCTAATTCCTTTGCTTCGGCCCAAAGCCAAGGCTTCTGGTTCCAAGCCAAGATCCATTCCCGCAGCGATGGGGAAGAAATCAGCCCAAGTGACGCTCTCAATGCTGCATCCACGAGGGTGTGGGAGGCCAGGGTAGGTCCAGAGGTCAAGAGAACACACCCCTAGGCAGAGTAGGTAGGTGGAAGCACTGACCCCGACATGTCCTGCATTCAAATCCAATGCCCCCCTCTACCACTCTGTTTCTCTCTTTTCTTCTCTCTCTCTCTCTCTCTCTCTCTCTCTCTCTCTCACACACACACACACACACACACACACACACACACGATTCACTAGCAAATACAGAGAGTTCTTAACGTGAGGCTTGTGAATTACATGATATGCAGATCCAAATGACTTGAAATTCATTGTCCACTTGAGCAATGGTGATAAGACCTGAAATGGGGAGTAGAGGAAGGCAATAAGAATCTTCAACTGCTTGCCAAGTTCTCAGGGCCCTGGGAATCCCCTATCTGAGGTGACTGCCCAGGTAGGAGCCACTTCCCTAGGTGATACAATGTAGTGAAAGCCCTTGGGCTCCACCCTACTGAAATACCACCCTGTTCTGGATCACTGGAGATTTCTGGATATTATCTAGTTCCTATTTTAAATGTAAATATTAAGGGGGGTTCAATTGTCAGCCATTCACACCTTAGTATGACTTACTCAAAGTAGCTGGCCTTCTCCAGCTTTAAAGTCAGAAAATTAAAAATACAACGAACCTGGAAGGGAATCAAAGGTTTGTGGAGTCGAACCCAAAGTTAGGAAAGTGCATTAAAAGACTGAGGAAGTTCTCTGAAGGAGGCCGGGAGCTAAAGGTGGCCAATAATTCCAGATCTCTCAGAAGATGTGACTAGTGTACCCTTGAGACAGATAGCCGCCAAAGTTTAAGAAAGAAACCCCAGTTAAAACCCAAACAACTCTGCCCCTGCGGTGCTGCACCGACCGCCACTACCTTGAGCAGGATGCGGCTCAGCTCCTTGCGATCCTAGGAAACACTTACTGAGGAGCAGCGGCAGCTAGGATGGTGGGTATTGTGTCAATGGGTGGAGGGGGTTCCTGGAAGCAATGGCACCTGCAGGCCAGAGGCACAGGCCTTCCCTTGTCACCTCTGCTGTAAGCTGAAGAAGTCCGGCGATCCCTGGCTGCGGGATGCTAGCCTACGGTAGAGGGTTGGAAGGATCTCTTCCCGCAGGGTCCCGGGCGCCCCGCGTGCCGCCGCCGCCGGAGTTTGGGTTCTCCGGGTGCCAAGAGTCTTCGAGGGGAACTCTTGGCTGCTGTTGGCTGCGCGTGGCGCGCTCAGGAGAAGCGGTTCTTCTCGACTCTGGGCGGGCGGGGCGCTCCTCTCCCTACAGGTTTGCTTTAATGATTTTCTTGAAAGAAAGAGACAGTTGTGAGCAAACAGGTTTGACAGGGACTGCTTTCCTCCACACCCCCCAGGGGATTTCTTTTTGTCTGCGTCTGACTTCAAAGTCAGTAATCGGCCCCTGTCAGTGGCGTGACAAGCAGGATTTGGGCTGTTTGTTAGGGCGAGTCCTGGCCGCGCACCCCAGCGGACTTTTTGCGGCCGGAGGGGCAAGGAAGGCGAAACAGTGGCAGGCCCCGTCGGGGACCGAGACTGAGACCAGGTCTAAGGAGGACAGAATATCTGAAGGAAGGAAACGAAATGCGATGGGAAGAAATGACCCAAGCCACGTCTGCGGCGTCAGGTCCCGGGACCCATTCTGAGCTCCTGGCTTTCTGTAGGCTGGAAAGAGATTTCATTAACTCGGTTCCTGGATCCCGGGCTCGGCTACAGCGCACCCCAATTTCCTGGGGGCTCCCCTCGGAATCCCAAGGGCCGGGAGCAATCTGGAACCAATCTGGAACTCTCTTTTCAGTTTTTCAGTTTCTATCGTCGCCCGAGGCCTCCGCCACTCAAACTCACCCGGTGCCTCTTTCCAGCCTAACCACACTTTGGAATCAACCGGGCACCCTAATGGGTCTTTGCGCGCGGGCTTCCTCCTCTGGGTGAGGTGCTTTGTACACCCAGGGCGTTCTCGCCCTGGGCTCTGCGGGGAGACACCCAGACCCCTGTAAGCTTCATCTTAGGAGATGTTAAGGGACACTGAGCTATGAGGGAGAGCAGAGAGTCTGACAGGTCTGTCAGTTGGGGTTATATCAGACAGCGAGACCGCGGAACCTCTGCCCCAGGCCTCCTGGGTTTGCAAGCGGGCGGGAGGAGGGGCCTTCCCTAAGCACCCAGAGTCTCCAGAGTCTCCAGACCCGACGGCCACCAGAGGCAAGTCACTTCCTAATTGTCTCGATTTGTAAGAGGGTTTTGTAATGCTAAGTAAGCGTGGCTCAGCCCGCCCGGCCTCCCCACACCTCCCCCAGTCCGCCTTTGTTTACCTTCGCCTGATCGCTCATTTATTTATCTATCTATTATTTATAGGCGTCCCTTCCTATTCAGAGCCCGTGTATGTTAATTGTGTTATACCATTTAATTCTAACATCGGTCTCAAAAGAGCTCTTAATGAGAAAAGCATATACAACACGGATCACTTTGCTATTCAGCTCAGCCAGATGGACAACTGCTAACTTTTTTTTTTTTTTAAAATAATGAAAATCCCTCTTTAACAAAGGGGTTCGGATGAATAGGCTCCAAATAGCACCTCAAACACTTCTAATTGTTTTGCGGACAATATGCTAATCGCGGGTTTCGGCTTTGGTGTCTGTTGACAGCGTTTTCCCCTGCACCTCCAACCACCGACTCTTTTGGAAACCGCGGAGGCAAGCGCACAAATCCCAGAACCGCAGCAGAGTCCCAAGCTCTTAGACTGCCCCACCCCCATCCCGCACCTTATCAAAGCCAGTGGGGAAAGCACGAGACCTAAGGAAAAACACGCGTGAGCACCGGTTTGGAGTGAGACTGGGGGAGACCGGAGGCGAGGAACACTCTTCGAACAAATTCCAGAGTTGGACTGGATAGCAGCATCAGAGGATTTTTTTTTTCCTCCCTCACAATACGCAGAACAATCTTCAAGCAAACATTCACCCAGAGGGGAAAGAAAAGGGTTCTTTTCTTATTCATTAAACATTAAAGCATTTTTAAATGTTTGTTTTTTAAAACTCTGCTTGAGCCGTGATCATAAAGCCCTCTTTCTCTTTTCTCCCTCAGGGTCTTAGCAAAAAGTCTGACAGGACCCGGCGGGGACCTAGGGAATGTTTTTCTGCATTTCTTGGGTTTTTATTTTCTAACTTAGGTACCGGTTTGGAGTCCCAGGTCCCCCAGAGAAGCCGGTAACAGTGTTTCCAAGCATCTTTTTTTTTTTTTTTAATGGATTCCACTCGCCTCGCCCCTAGCAAACTTAAACACCTGCAGTAGGACGCGATGCTCCGTGAGCAACTGGTTCCCAGGAGACTTGTGCTTCTCCCCATTCCTTTGGAGTTTTGTTTTTTAAAAGCGAACCCAAGGTTCGCCTTTTGTCTGGGTTCCTTCACTTCTTGAAGCGACCCCACGCTTTTGCGGAGAACGCGCAGAAAGAGTGCGGGCCCAGGTACTGATACCTTTGTCTGGCCTCTAAAGGCAAAAAGCGTCTCCCCGGGGCGGGATCCCCACAGATCCCAGACTCTAGGCCCTTCTGCACCAGGCTTCAAGGTTCGGTCAAAGCAGGACAGCGCCAGCTATCACTGCTAGAGTCGCTCCGCCAGCACTCAGCCTCCCGGCGGCCCCACTTCCCCGGCGGCTGGACCTGACCTCCTGACTTGATTTTATGCACATCAAAGGTTACTCTTTGCAATGACAGATTGTCTTTATTCAAAACGTCTTTGTTCAACAAATGAACAGAGTAACGAGGTAAAATCCTTCTAGGTACATTTCCAAGACATCGTCAAAACATTTGTGATCATTAAGGATGTTTTTATTATTTTAATTTTTGTTCACCTTCTACTTCCTGACTTCATAACCCGACATTCTGTCTAAAAGTAAACTTAGGTCTCTAGGAGCACTGCTTTACACAAATAGCAAAGTGGGTCGGTCCTTTTTTTGTTTTCCCTTTAAAGAAGCAAACACTATTATAGCATGGTTTTAAATAGAAATGTTTCCCTTTTTGTAGTTTTAAACTTTTAAGCTTTTCTTTCCCCCCACACATGAAGAGTAAATGGTGCCTAGTTGTGTCTGATGGAAAAGTGGAGACCCAACTGTCTCTTTTCTTCAGGGGGAAAAAGAAAAAAATATATATATGCATATTCTAGATATAATACCAGGATCTGGGAGTTCCGAGTCCAAAGCCTATCCGAGGAGAGTGAAGGGGACATAAATAAAGCAAAACTGCCCACTTTTTTGTCCAAAGGGGGTACAGTCGGAGATTTGTTTGGGGAGAGTAGGGATGGGGCAGCTGTGTAGCTGTCATAATGTTTGCAAGTTTCTGCACCTGTCTGCGCCTTGGGTCCGGGAGGATGCCCCTCCCTTTCCCCTGGAAGAGAGAGGCAGAGTCTGGGTAGGGTAAGGGGCAGCAGCAGGGCTGACCCAGAGGCATCTGCAGGCCAGGACTAGGCGCAGAGGACAGGGTGCAGACCCCGCTTCCAGGCCACCCTTCAGGTCCGGGCCAGGCTGGGGGTTACATGGCCGTGGCGTGGGCTGACGAATAAGGGTCTATGCCAGTCTTGGTCATGCCTGGAAAGAGGATGTAGGCGACGGGGGGCTGCAGGGTGGAGGCAGACCAGGCAGTACAGTTACAGGGCACCACGTAGCCGGGGTTGGTGGGGGACGGGTGCGTGTGCGTGTGCTGGCTGGGGCAGCTGAGGCTGCCGAAGGCGCCGTTCTGGTAGCCCAGGGTGGACGCGTAGGGCAGCGCGCTGGTGGCCAAGGTGTGGGGCACTTCACCCATCTTCTGGATGGCACTCGAGCTAAACTGCGCGGGGTCCAGCAGGGAGTAGGGCGCCGAGGCAGGCGGCAAGAAGGCCCGGGCTTTCTCGGGCGCGCTCAGGAGGCCGTCGGAGGCCCCCACCGGCAGGCCGGCCGCCTTGAGCGGGTCCGTGTCGCCCAGGTAGGGCAGGGGGAAGACATACCTGTCCTTCTTGAGCAGGTTCTTGGGCTTGCGCCGTGGCCGATACTTGTAGTCAGGGTGCTCCTTCATGTGCTGGGCGCGCAGCCTTTTGGCTTCGTCGATGTATGGCCTCTTCTCTGCCTCCGACAGAAGCTTCCACTCGGCGCCTAGGCGTTTGCTGATCTCCGAGTTGTGCATCTTGGGGTTTTCCTGGGCCATCTTGCGCCGCTGGCCCCGGGACCATACCATGAAGGCATTCATGGGCCGCTTGATGTGGTCTGAAGGTTTGGACATGGTCCCGGCGGCTAGGCGGGCGGGGGTGGGGAGTGCAAGGGGCTCTGTGGGCGAGCCTGGGAGCGGTTGGCAGTCTGTCTTTCCGTCCTGAGCCGGGACTCTGAGCTCCCCTCTCCTTGGCGCAGCTGAGGGGAAGCCAGAGAGAAGAACTGATCCGGCAAAGTTCAGCTGATCATTCCAGTCCCAGCACCCAGGTAGCCCCCGGGGGGCGAACCGGGACAGGAGGGCGGGGGATGAGAGGGCTTTCGGCCGAGGGGCTGTGGGCACCTGAGACTGGGGCCCAAGTACCAGAGTCTCTGGGATTAAGTGGCCAGGTAATTTTCTGGAGAGGGCAGGAAGCTCCTCCTCTCCCTCTCCACCTTCGCCTTCTCTAGTTCCCTTCTCTTCTCTTGCGTCTCCGGCCGTGGCTCCCCCCCTCCCCTGACTTCCCCGGAGCTGCCTTGCCTTAGCACTGCACCTGGCTGAGAATGCGGGGAGGCAGATGAACAGGAGCCAAAAGCGGCGAAGTTCAAAGGCGAGGTGGGCCCGGACAGCACGCACTCTGACATAAGCGCTGGGCGGTGACTCCCCAACCTGGGCGCCAATCAGCTGCAGAGAAGGCGAGGGGGAGCACCTGCCAACGCGCGAGTAGAGGCTAGAGGGAGCGACACTGGTGGGGGCGGGGAGAGGTGTGAGAGAGAGAGAGAGACTGAAACCGAGAGAACACAGCGACTAAGCTCAGGACTGGCGATTTGGGCTCCACATTGTCTCTGGCACTGTCAAAAAATAAAATTCTTCCTGCCTCCTGTTTCTTTCCTGGTTGTGCCAGAGAGAATTAGGACTTGGAATACAAAGACCAGGGGCGGGGGTGGCAGCAAAGGGAGCTAAGGGAGAGCTCCTTTGATAAATAGGACAGCCTTGCCACGAAATGCAAGGACAGCATTTCCCCCCTTGTCAAAGATCCTTGGAAGAGGAAAAGAATATATCAAACTCAGGGTAAAAGCGAAATAAACTTTTTTTTTTGCGTTAGATCTTCCGTTGTTCTTTGGCTGCGTTCACACAGAAGGGCCCTGCAGCTTGGGCTCCACCTCTGCCCCAGGGTGAGGCGTATCTCTGGGCCCCTGGGCATCAGAGCAGAGAGCTGAGTCCAGGCCATAAGGCCTCTCTTCTTCGGGCAGTGCAGAGGGTCGAAATCCGGGTTGGTGAGCCCTTAACAGCACCGATCTGGTCTTCGCTTTCGCTGAAAGTGTGTGTGTGTGGAAGGGGGGCGGGGGTGGAGGGATTCTTTCATGGTTCTTATTCTTGTTATCATCATCATCATCATCATCATCATCATCATTCAGTAGTCTTATTATTCAACTCTCTTCCACAACTGTCCACCTGGAAGAGCAGCGTGGAGGTCCGGCGTGGGGGTCTTCCTGATGCCCCTTCTGCACCCCTACAGGGAGTCTCGGGCTGTACTCAAAACTAGGGTCGTTTTATCCCTGGGCGCCTCTTCCACCCAGAGAGGCTTCGAGACTCCAGACTCGTTTCTGGAGTCAGATGAGCATTCTTCGGGTAAAGAGGACGAAATAACCCGCAGAGCCAAACTGCGAGGAGCCTGTTTCCTTTGAATAATTGCCTGCCCGATGTGAAATGCCCTTGGGGAAAATATTTATTAAATGGAAACCATTGTCCCACTCCCGGCAGGACCTGCGTATGTTCCGGGCTTATTGGCTTTTGCACCAGCTTCTCTCAGGAGGACAGGCCAGAAACGCACGCTGCTCTGTTGAGGAGCTGGGGATGGAGGGAGGCGGCGGAGTGGGGGTGGGGAGAAAGGAGGCAGGGAGAAAAAGTCAGGAAGGAAGAGTCTTTAGCATGCAATGTGTCAAGTTGGAGAACACCTTGCTTCTTCCTATGATTAGAAAGAGGATGAGATTTTTCACAATTAGCTCTCAATTCAGAGTGGGGGGCGCTGTTCCCATTTTACAGATTAGGAAACTGAGATTGAGAAAAGCTAGGTGACTTGCCAGAATTAACTGCGAGGTAAATGGTGATGCTTGTTGTAAAGGATTTGAAACCAGTGTTTTCCCCCCTATCCCGCCGGCATCACATCTGGGAATTCAATAGTGTTGCAGCCAAACTTGGAACCTTCAATGTATACCAGAGCGATTGAAAGAGCTGCCTTGCAGATTAATTGCACCAGAGAACAGATCCTGCTCTTGATTCGTTTAGAAACCGACAGGTGCGGTTTCTCTGATCATATATGATCCGCGAAGGAGTTACCTCCAGGCGCGTTGGCGAGCAGGTCAGCAGCCTTTACTTCGAAACGCACTTTTCAGTCCAGTTGGGAGGAGTTGCAGGCAACCAGTATGTAGTTCAGACCAGCGGTGCTGTGCGCGAGTTCAAGGACTTGCCCGAGATCGAAGTCCACCAGCCACTGATTCTAAGTCTACCGCAGAATCCCAGGGGCTCTGGGAAGGAATGAGAAATACTCATATTTGCAGAGAGGTCCAGCATCCAGTGGGGACCCGCCAATCTCTCTCACACTGAAACCCTCAGGGGATATGAAACCTATATCCAGAGGTTTGTGTTAATACAAATCAACCTTTTGGAAATTGCTTAAGGAGGGATCTGGAACAGGGTTCTAGGCACTTTTCTCTCCCCTGAGCCTCCAGACCAACTCCAGTCCCCCGCCCCCAGGCACTTCCGGGGCATGTGCACACTCTCCTATTTCCTTCTCTTAAGCGGGGCCACGCTCCTCTGCAAGCCACTTGCACTCAGCCCTAGGTCGCAATCCAAGAACTATTCACAGCCTAAGAGCTTATCCACCATCCAACGTGAATTAATATGGTGAGTGCGCGAAAGTGGCGATTTTTGCTCCGGAGCCACCTTACTTTCAGGAATTCGGGGGGGGCCTCAAACTACTTGGTCAGACTGACCCAATTAGGTATCTGCATTAACATTGAACTTCTTGTCCTGGAGTCATAAACTCCCCTGTAGGGTTGAGGGCGCGTTCCTGGTCTTGAACTCGCTTGCCTCCTAGGAGGAAGTAGCAGATTCGCACACCACCTTCCGCAATGCTGCGTGGCCACGCGTTTATTCAAGACCCCTTAGCGCGCGGGGCTCGAGAGTTACCCAAACCTATACTGCGCTGCTGCTCTGTTTTCTAATCTATTCCCCTCCAGGCCAAGACCACCAGGCAGCAGATCTCGAGGGGGGATCCCTGGGGAGAACCTGCAGTTTCTATCACTGCTAGAATGGGCGTTAGGACAGAGGTCGCCTAAAGGCACTTCTTGCTTTGTCCACAATCTGAAGTTTGGACCTCAGGCTGCCACTCCATTCTCCAGGTAGGAGATGTCCTTGGGATGAGTTTGTTGGTTTTTTTCCCTAGGTTTGCGTGGAGAATCAGCGCACACGCTCTATACACGCTTCTTTATTCAGCTCAATTACTTAAGACACGCCAGATGCCTGCCTTGGCCAGGTGTTTGAACACGTGAGCAAAAGAGATTCAGTGATCCTTCGCTGTTCCAATAAAAGTTAAGAAAGAGGCCACCGGAGGGAGGTCAGGAACTTATCCGCTTCCAGGATGAGCCTTCTACTATAGCCCAACTTCTCCCCTTTCCTTTAGCCCAATACTTTCCTGTACATCAGCATCAGTATAAGGCTATCATTGCCTCTCAGGAGACTTCTTTGAATCTACACTAGGCTAGAACCCCTATTCATACCCCTCATTCTTTCCCCAGACTGGTGTGCACACCTGTTGCATTCCATACAGACCCTCAAACTTGGATACCTGGCGGGCAGAGGCTGTGTGCTGTTCATCTTTGTGCTGTTCACCCCATCCTGGCACAACTCCGATCTCAGAAGGTAACTTATAAATCGCTTCCATCTGCCCAGTCACAGGTAAAGTTTTCCAATAGATCTTTCCCTGCCTTAGGCTCCGGGGACAAATTTCCAGACGCAGCCTAAAAAACTGCACGAGGAAGTTGGGAGCTTCGAGGCCTTTCCCCATCTGCCTGGTCTCTATGCTGGACATTACCCCCACCCAGCTCCACTCTGGTGGGTAGAAATCAACCCTCGGAGGCCTGTGGGACTGAGCAAGGCTGAGTACTGAGGGAAAGTTGCGCAGGATGTGTCTTGGAGAATGCGGTTGCAGTTGCTGGTGGAGATAAAGAACCGAGATGGCTCAATACCTCGCCCCCGCTCCCCGCCGGGTTTCTGAAGAAGTGAGGAGAGGAGCCTGTGTGCGGGTGCTGAAGGTCCAGGCCCACTCATTGTTGCCCCTCAGGGAGAAACTGAGTGAGGTCATAGGTGCTGGTTACAAGGACCTTCCACGAGGCCTTGGCACCAGGTGGCTGCTGGGAGTGTGAGCAGCAGGCAGATTCAGGCGTCTAGTTGTGAATGCATGAATCCTGCTCATCCCATAGTGTAGACAACTCAGGAGCCACCATTAGAGTTGAAAAATTGATTTCAGGAAATAATGCCGTTTGGTCAAATCATACACTTTTAATTATTATTACCAAAATATTTTAAATAAGTGGCACCCTGCTCTCTCCTATTCTCCCTCACCCCATTTTATGTTTTAAAATTCAGAAACCTCACAGTATCCCATCTCTACAGAGTACTCAGAAGGACTTAATGCTCCAGCCTTATTAAGTAAGACATTTCCTAGTAATTGCTTGGGGTCTTCTTTCCAAAACCCAGCCTAGTCCACTCCAGCATTTTAAAATTTTATAAAATTCCATGTGTTCCTGGAAGCAAAGACGGCACAGGAGGGCCTGGTTTCCACCAAGAAACAGAGAGAAACTGATTAAACTGTGGTTCCAGGACAGATACCTAGAGTGCCTGCAATGGAACACAGTTGCTATCCCCCAACTGGCAGAGCTGGCAGAGCTGGGCTGAAGGACATTTGTACTTCAACATCTGACCATGCACAGCTAAGAAGACTTTTTGATGCTTCAAACTGCCTTAACATGAGTAGTTTACCTCAGGCAGGTCTGTTTGTAAGTGAGATCATGTGACTCACAGTTGCATAACTTCTTCACACATCTCCCAGAAAATGGAAGGGTGGGAGCAGGAGTAGGGCTTTGAAATCTCTTATCCATTTATTAATTTGACAACTGTTATGAGCACCACTGTATGCTCAGCACTGTGATAGGTGCTGGGATATATCAGGGAACAAGACCTACAAAGGCTCTTCTCCAATGGTAATTATTACAGCGCAACAGGAAAAGAGACAATAAACAAGGAACAAATTCTTGGGGTGATTTTTGGCTCTACCAACAAATAGCTGTGTCACATCAAGCAAAATTCTTAATCTACCTGTGTTCTAATTTTCTAGCCTGCAATGCAGATATAATGGATTCGGATTCTTATCAGGGCTAAGTGATTGTATATTTGAAATGCCCTTAGAACAATACTGGTCATATAAAATCTGCTCAATAAACAACCAGATTGTATTATTTTATCATTAAGTTCAAGGAATTAGGGGCTAGGGATGTGGCTCAAGCGGTAGTGTGCTCACCTGGCATGTGTGCAGCACAGGTTCGATCCTCAGCACCACATACAAACAAA